GAGATACATGAACATGAAATCTTTGAGATGATATTAGTGATTTAATATTAATTTTCTAAGGTTTCATGTATTATTGTTATCCTCTGAAAAATGTTATTTTACCTAGAATATACATGTTGAATGTATTAAGGATAAAATGTCTAGATGTCATCAACTTACTTTCAAATGATTCAGGGGAAAAAGTGTATGTGTGAGTGCACATGTGTGCATATTTGGAAATAAAAAGTAAATGAAGTAAAATGCAAACAACTGGTAGGTTTAGGTAATGAGTATATGGGGTTCACTGGAATAGTCCTTCAGTTTTCCTGTAGGTTTGGAGTTTTTCAAGGAAAATAAAAATTACTAGATGTTTTGAAAAATATTATTCAAGAAAACTTCCCATTACTAAAGCACATCTTCTCATTTAAAAGATCTATTTGGTACTAAGCATAAAAAATGAAAAAGATTCACAATAAGATACATTAAATTTTAGGAGACTAGGAACAAAGAGATGATCCTGAAAGCAGGGCACATACAAAGGGCCAGGAATGTAAATGTTTTTGTTTTGTTTTGTTTTGTGTGATTTGAGTAAAGTTTACAGAGCAAATTCATCTTCCATACAGCAGTTCACCTGCACTTTGTCTCATAACATTGACTGTAATCTCCCACAGTGCAACAGATCTCATTCCACTTCCTCCTCATAGCCACCTCTTCCCTGTGTCCTTCCCCCCCATGCACTCCTACCCCCCACGCTGTGTTCCTGTGCATATACAGGCCTTCTATTCTCCCATGATTGATCTCTCCAAAGAATGTATCTACCTAATGTAAATGTTCACCTCCTATGCCTTTCTGTTGTTTGGCTGGAAGTTCTGAATGAGGAGAGACCCATCATTGCAACTAAGATGGCCGCTTGCAAGTTTTTAAGATCCTAGTCTCTACTTGCCAAATAGGATATGGAACACTTTTTGTGTAGTGTGTTATGCCTATTGAGCTTGATGACCCCTGCGACCATGGTCCCAAGCCCACAGGTCCAACTACTTGCTCCTTCTGGGTAGCTGGCTGTGGCCAAAAAGTGACTACAACCTGTCAAATCTACTATGTATCTAGAAATTCTTACCCCCTTTTAGTGAGATTTTAAAAGGGGCAGGGATAACTGCATGTGCTCCTTCTGCTTATTTGAGAGAATCTGTTTCCTCTTTCTAGATAAATCTTGTTTTTAGAAATTAATTTTAAACATAACAAATTTTAAAGCTAATTATATTAGCCATTCAGTAAATACATTTTTATTTTTCTATGTGCCAGAATTCAACTTAATGAAATTAACAAAAACTATCTTTACCTTCATGTAGCAGACAGAAATTACACATTCAAACAAATAGGAAATTTTTAGTTATAGGAAATGAATATGTAAACAATCATTACCAAAACAAAATACCAAAAACAAACAAACAAAAAAGAATGAAACTGACAAATAATGACACGGGAGGGATTATATAATTCAGACTGAGCATTCAGGAAAGATCTTTAATAGTATATGCCATTTAGCAGAGATCTGAAAAACAGCCAGAACTTTGTAGGACTATGAGTGGAGGAAGTGGGGGGGCCTAATGGGAAGATATTTCAGATGGGTGAAATTATGGCAGAAGTGGGTGTCAGGAGCAGTTTAGTGTATTCAAAGAACTGAGGAAGCCAGCGTAGCTATAGCTTATTGTTGTAGGGGTTGGGTATCAAGTTAAAAAGGCAGACAGGTGGCAGATCAATGGGGAAATTTTGAGTGTGGATCTTATCCTAAGGTCAATGGGAAATGATTGAAACATTTTGAACAGGGCAGAGCCAGGATGAATATCACTCTGGCTGCTAAGCATGCAAAACTGGAAATGCAGGCAGGTAGATAAAATGCTAGGAGCTCTGGTGGTGTTGTGGTTAAAGCATTTGGCTACTAACCAGAAGACTGGCAGTTTGAACCCACCAACTTCTCTGAGAGAGAAAGATGAGGTACTTTTTTTCCATAAAAATTTATAGCCTTGGAAACCCTATGGGACAGTTCTACTCTGTCATATAGGGTTGCTGTGATTCAGAATTGACTTGATGGCGGTGAGAGTGGAGAGAGATAAAATACTGTTTTAGTGTTTTAAGTAACAGATGATTCAGGTTTGGATTAGTCATTGACAGTGGAGGTTGATAAAGAAACTTCAAGAAATAATCAAGGCCTACTTTAAAGCTTGTTGAATAAACGTTATAGGAAGAAACTGATCTTGGAATGTTTTCAGCTTTGGGTTCAATATATGATCTTTTCAAATCAATTTCCTTTGCTAGTCTCTATCTTTTAGCAAATAAATCTTCCAAACACTGCATGCCTTTGTACATAAATAGATTAGTGTGATTTCAAAATAATTCAAAAACTATAAGAGCTAGAGTTCAAAATACTCATCTATATACGTTCTTCTTATAATTTTCCAGTAGTGTCACATTACATCGTATCTTCTTCTCTTCCCTTCTTTGATTTTAAAGCTTGCTTTTCAGTTACTTCGTGCTGTAGCCCTTGCTGAGTCCCCTCTTTTCCCAAGGAAGGCATAGAACTTCGAGGAAAACATTGCTTATATCAAATGGCATAAAGAAGCCACATCCAGCCACAGACACTTCATTGCTCATTCTAAACTAATTAAAGTGTTTAGTCTTTCATCAGCATACTGCTACACCTTTCTTTTTTTTTTTTATCTCTTTCAGAGTATATACAAACTATATTTGTTATTTACCCTTTGATTCTCCATTTAGTCCAGATTTTCCCTCCAGAGTATAACTATTTAATGCTTTCAACAATCCTAAGAAATAGGTAAATAATTATCTTATAAATATGTTGACATATGTGACATCATATTCATCGTCTAACAAAATTGAGATGGAGTCAAAACATCCATATATTTATCATTATCAAGCTTCCTAGTTCTGCTTGGAATTTTTATCTAAACCACTGTTTAGGAAAAATTGACTTAATGTATTTTCCTAAATACTTCTTTCACCTCCCAGTGTACCTTCTTCTCTCTCTTGGCTTCCTAACCTATTTCTCAAATTGCCAATAATATTTGAGAACTGCATAAGTTATTCACATTTTATGGAAATTAATTTCTTTTGTCTTCCATATCTATTACATAGATGTTATCTATATCTATCATAAACGTTTCATTGTTTCCCAGAACACAAAACAAGTGAATGTTTGCTTTTATATTTTCTTTCAGACTGAATCAAGGTGTGTGAACAAGAAATTATTTCTGAAGAAGGAAATAAATGGAATAGCATCATCCTGATGGGAGACAATGGAAAGACTGACAAAACACAGCATTGAGTGTTCAAGTTTCCTAGATGACTGGGAATGTAGAAGCCAGTTTGACAAAGAACAGGGATCTCAGGAAGGTCATTTCAGTCAAATGATATTTGCTTCTGAAGATATGCCTGCTTTCAGTCATGATCCATCTTTAATTATCCATCAAAGATTTACAAGTGAAGAACAATCCTGTGAATTTAAGAAATGTGAGAAATCCCTTATAAATGACTTGCAGCTCCCTGCATATCAGAGAATTCATATTGGCAAGAAATTCTATGAATACAAGGAATATGAGAATGCCCTTGGTAGGGACTTTTACCTTACCCAGCATCAGAGAATTCATACTGATGAGAAACCCTTTGAATGTAAAGAATGTGGGAAGGATTTTAGTTTTGTATCAGTCCTTATTCGACATCAGCAAATTCATACTGGTGAAAAACCATACAAATGTAAAGAATGTGGCAAGGCCTTTGGTAGTGGTGCAAACCTTGCTTACCATCAGAGAATTCATACTGGTGAGAAACCTTATGAATGTAAGGAATGTGGGAAGTCTTTTGGTAGTGGCTCAAACCTTATTCACCATAAGAGAATTCATACTGGTGAGAAACCCTATGAATGTAAGGAGTGTGGGAAAGCCTTTAGTTTTGGATCAGGCCTTATTCGACATCAGATAATTCACAGTGGAGAAAAGCCTTATGAGTGTAAAGAGTGTGGGAAGTCCTTTAGTTTTGAATCAGCCCTTACTCGGCATCACAGAATTCACACAGGTGAGAAACCTTATGAATGTAAGGATTGTGGGAAGGCCTTTGGTAGTGGTTCAAACCTTACTCAACATCAGAGGATTCATACAGGTGAGAAGCCCTATGAATGTAAAGTATGTGGAATGTCCTTTAGTAGCGGTTCAGCCCTTACTCGGCATCAGAGAATTCATACTGGTGAGAAACCATACATATGTAATGAATGTAGGAAGGCTTTTAGTTTTGGATCAGCTCTTACACGGCATCAAAGAATTCACACTGGTGAGAAACCTTATGTATGTAAGGAGTGTGGGAAGGCTTTTAATAGTGGCTCAGATCTCACTCAACATCAAAGAATTCACACTGGGGAGAAACCCTATGAGTGTAAGGAATGTGAGAAAGCCTTTAGAAGTGGTTCAAAACTTCTTCAGCATCAGAGAATGCATACTGGTGAGAAACCATATGAATGTAAAGAATGCGAGAAGGCCTTTAGTAGTGGCTCAGACCTTACTCAACACCAGAGAATTCATACTGGTGAGAAACCATATGAATGTAAGGAATGTGGGAAGGCCTTTGCTAGTGGCTCAAAACTCATTCAACACCAGATAATTCATACTGATGAAAAACCCTATGAATGTAAGGAATGTGGAAAGTCTTTTAGTAGTGGCTCAGCACTTAATAGGCACCAGAGAATACACACTGGTGAGAAATCCTACAAATGTTAGGAATGCGGGAAGGTTTTTAGTAATGGTTCAAACCTTATTCAACATCAGAGAATTCATACAGGTGAGAAACCTTACAAATGTAAGGAATCTGGTAAACATTTTGGAAAGAGTTCAGATTTTGGGCAACATATGGAAACTCATTCTGGTGAGTTCTGTGAACTGAAAACTCTATGAATTAGAATTACATGGTTAAGGAAGAACTTTCAACACAGATGAGTCCCTACAAATGGAATTAAAGAAAAAAAAGCCTCACTTAACCTACATAGGTTTGTCAACCTGGGAGAATTCATACAGGAAAAAAAACAACAAGCTACTCTGAATGGAATTAGTATTTGAAGACCTTTATCTATATATTTTCTTCATGAATTTCAGAAAATTGAGACTTGTGAATAGAAAAGATGAAAAAAAAAATGTATTTTACCTTTATTTGAAACATTGAAAAAATTATTTGGGAGTTAACTGCTATTTTTATTATTTTTAAAAGTATTTTTAAATTTTTATGTATTATGTTACTCCATCTCAAAATTACATTACATTTTCATTGAAGGTCTAAATTTACCTTTTTTCTTTCCCTCCCCAGGTTATTATCCTAACAGTTATTATTATTATTATTATTTTGCTTGCTTGATGGTGTTATATTTTTATGTATATGAACTGGGATAGCAGGTCAATCTTTGTCTTTTAAATCTCTGTGGTTGTATCTGTGTCACATCCTAGGTAAGTTATTGTTTCTTCTTTAATGTCTTATAGATCTGTACCTTTTGTTTTGGAAGAATGTGTTATTGTTTTCCTTTTATTTTCTTTTTGCAAAAAAATTTTCCCCATAGAAATCTAAAGAAGGACAATAACAAAAAAAGATGCAGTTGTCTATAATATTACCAAACTTTTAGAACAAACTGTTCAAGACTATGTCTATTATTGTTTTAAAGAAATATGATTATGTTTTACTGTAATTTGCCTTTAATATTCTTTGTTAAATATACTGTTACTATTTTATTGGTTTTATAGTGTTCATCTGTCTTTATCAAACCCCTAGTTTGTTATATATTGAGATTTCTATTATAAACAGTTACCTTGATGGCCTCCTTTGAATATGTGTTAGCATCCTTTCAGAGATAATGTGTGGTTATCTTCTCCTTAAACAAGATGTATACATTTGCACACCCTTTTTGACCATCATTCTAGACCTCAGTTCCTTCCCAACGTTAACCAACTTACTTATCCTTCCAGGTCCTTTTATATGCATATGTAAGTAACTGTGGAAATCCATAATATTTTTTTGTCATCTTTATACTTCTGTATCTTCATAATGTGCGTGGTAAAGTGGGCCTGATTATAGTAACTACAGAGGCTTGTTGATGGATTATATAATTGTGACTATCACATAGTAAATGCTTGGTAAATAATAGCCATCATTACTATCATCCCTTTATCCATTTATGGAAATACTTTTAACCATGGTCCACATCTTACTCAATGTCAAAGACGTCATAATTGATGAAGACATTAATGTAAATGAATATAGGAAAAGTTTGATCAATATTCATTCCTTATTGAACAAAGGATAATTCATCATAAAGAAAAAAAAAAAAACATGAGATTTTAAAGAGTGAGAAGACAAATACTGCATCATAAAATTTATACCAAGGTAGAAAATTAAAAAAAAAAAAAAACCTCTCCAAAAACCTGAATACTAATTCATTAACTAACTACATAATTCTTTTGTTAAAAAATAAAATTTAATTTCTTTTGAAATAAATATCAGTGAATAAACTACACAGCAAAACCTGTGCGGACTTTCCAGATCTACATAGGAAAATTTATAGCTCTAAATTCATATATATGTTATATTATCAGGGAGATTATGAATAAAGAAACTAAGCATATAACCCAATAAGCCACAGAAGGAATAACAACAAAACCCCAAGGATAATGAAAGGTGAAAAGTAAAGAAAAAATTATTTAAATAGAAAACAGAAACTAATAATCAAAACTTGCTTTTTTAAAGAAAAACTTGATTATAGCAATTCTGGTAAAGGAAAAAAAGAAATGAAGAACATTACAAATGAAAAAGGGGCATTAGGTTGAGAGATTTTACAGCTTATATATTAATTTCACATAAATTTTTAATAATTAATTTGAAAATTAAAATGCACATTTTGGAAAAAGGGGATATGAATCACTAGAATTTACTCAGAGAGGCCTAGAAATGCTTGTTGTTGTTGTTGTTGTTATGTGCCGTC